CCACTTTCAGGTCTCTTCACACTGCTGGTGTGTTAAATTTTTTTTTGACATAGGGTGCAGGCAGATTACGGGCCTCACATAGCTGCTGCCAGGCCCCTAATCTGCCATGGGCCCCTATATACCGCCTCCTCCTCATGCTGCTGCCAAGTCCAGAGTCTCTCATGGGTCCCTGTACGGCCTCCCATTGCTGCTGTCTCCATCGCCACACTCTCTGCCATGTGCCACTTTCAGGTCTCTTCACACTGCTGGTGTGTTAAATTTTTTGACATAGGGTGCAGGCAGATTACGGGCCTCACATAGCTGCTGCCAGGCCCCTAATCTGCCATGGGCCCCTATATACCGCCTCCTCATGCTGCTGCCAAGTCCAGAGTCTCTCATGGGTCCCTGTACGGCCTCCCATTGCCTCCCATTGCTGCTCTCCCATCGCCACACTCTGCTGCCATGTGCCACTTTCAGGTCTCTTCACACTGCTGGTGTGTTTAAAATTTTTTGACATAGGGTGCAGGCAGATTACGGGCCTCACATAGCTGCTGCCAGGCCCCTAATCTGCCATGGGCCCCTATATACCGCCTCCTCATGCTGCTGCCAAGTCCAGAGTCTCTCATGGGTCCCTGTACGGCCTCCCATTGCTGCTGTCTCCATCGCCACACTCTGCTGCCATGTGCCACTTTCAGGTCTCTTCACACTGCTGGTGTGTTTAATTTTTTGACATAGGGTGCAGGCAGATTACGGGCCTCACATAGCTGCTGCCAGGCCCCTAATCTGCCATGGGCCCCTATATACCGCCTCCTCATGCTGCTGCCAAGTCCACAGTGCTGCCAAGTCTCTCTCATGGGTCCCTGTACGGCCTCCCATTGCTGCTGTCTCCATCGCCACACTCTGCTGCTGCCATGTGCCACTTTCAGGTCTCTTCACACTGCTGGTGTGTTTAAATTTTTTGACATAGGGTGCAGGCAGATTACGGGCCTCACATAGCTGCTGCCAGGCCCCTAATCTGCCATGGGCCCCTATATACCGCCTCCTCATGCTGCTGCCAAGTCCAGAGTCTCTCATGGGTCCCTGTACGGCCTCCCATTGCTGCTGTCTCCATCGCCACACTCTGCTGCCATGTGCCACTTTCAGGTCTCTTCACACTGCTGGTGTGTTTAAATTTTTTGACATAGGGTGCAGGCAGATTACGGGCCTCACATAGCTGCTGCCAGGCCCCCCTAATCTGCCATGGGCCCCTATATACCGCCCCTCATGCTGCTGCCAAGTCCAGAGTCTCTCATGGGTCCCTGTACGGCCTCCCATTGCTGCTGTCTCCATCGCCACACTCTGCTGCCATGTGCCACTTTCAGGTCTCTTCACACTGCTGGTGTGTTTAATTTTTTGACATAGGGTGCAGGCAGATTACGGGCCTCACATAGCTGCTGCCAGGCCCCTAATCTGCCATGGGCCCCTATATACCGCCTCCTCATGCTGCTGCTGCCAAGTCCAGAGTCTCTCATGGGTCCCTGTACGGCCTCCCATTGCTGCTGTCTCCATCGCCACACTCTGCTGCCATGTGCCACTTTCAGGTCTCTTCACACTGCTGGTGTGTTTAATTTTTTGACATAGGGTGCAGGCAGATTACGGGCCTCACATAGCTGCTGCCAGGCCCCTAATCTGCCATGGGCCCCTATATACCGCCTCCTCATGCTGCTGCCAAGTCTAGAGTCTCTCATGGGTCCCTGTACGGCCTCCCATTGCTGCTGTCTCCATCGCCACACTCTGCTGCTGCATGTGCCACTTTCAGGTCTCTTCACACTGCTGGTGTGTTTAATTTTTTGACATAGGGTGCAGGCAGATTACGGGCCTCACATAGCTGCTGCCAGGCCCCTAATCTGCCATGGGCCCCTATATACCGCCTCCTCATGCTGCTGCCAAGTCCAGAGTCTCTCATGGGTCCCTGTACGGCCTCCCATTGCTGCTGTCTCCATCGCCACACTCTGCTGCCATGTGCTGCCATGTGCACTTTCAGGTCTCTTCACACTGCTGGTGTGTTTAATTTTTTGACATAGGGTGCAGGCAGATTACGGGCCTCACATAGCTGCTGCCAGGCCCCTAATCTGCCATGGGCCCCTATATACCGCCTCCTCATGCTGCTGCCAAGTCTAGAGTCTCTCATGGGTCCCTGTACGGGCCTCCCATTGCTGCTGTCTCCATCGCCACACTCTGCTGCCATGTGCCACTTTCAGGTCTCTTCACACTGCTGGTGTGTGCTGGTGTGTTAAATTTTTTGACATAGGGTGCAGGCAGATTACGGGCCTCACATAGCTGCTGCCAGGCCCCTAATCTGCCATGGGCCCCTATATACCCCCTCCCTCCTCATGCTGCTGCCAAGTCCAGAGTCTCTCATGGGTCCCTGTACGGCCTCCCATTGCTGCTGTCTCCATCGCCACACTCTGCTGCCATGTGCCACTTTCAGGTCTCTTCACACTGCTGGTGTGTTTAAAATTTTTTTTGACATAGGGTGCAGGCAGATTACGGGCCTCATAGCGCTGCCAGGCCCCTAATCTGCCATGGGCCCCTATATACCGCCTCATGCTGCTGCCAAGTCCAGAGTCTCTCATGGGTCCCTGTACGGCCTCCCATTGCTGCTGTCTCCATCGCCACACTCTGCTGCCATGTGCCACTTTCAGGTCTCTTCACACTGCTGGTGTGTTAAATTTTTTTTGACATAGGGTGCTGGCAGATTACGGGCCTCCCATTGCTGCTGCCAGACATGTAATCTGCCATGGGCCCCCGTACCGACTCCTCATGCTGCTGACGTTGCAACAAGGTGTAATTCAACCCTACATATGTTAGACCGCCTTTACGAACAGCTAAAGGCCATCACAGATTTCCTGATGTTAAAAGCGGATAAAGGTACTCCCTGTGTAACTTAGATGTCAGCCATTGTCAGCTCATGTGTGACACCTGCGCTTGCTCAGGCCCTTTGAGGAGGCCACGCTATTCGTGAGTCGGCAGGACTATGGGATGAATGAGGTCAAATCGGCCAGGCCCCCGTACCGCCTGTTCACGCTGATGCTGGTCCCACAGTGTGACCTGGGTCCCTGTACGGCCTCCCATTGCTTCCACTCTGCCATGTACCTTTTGAAATCTCCTCACACTCCTGCGGTTGTCCATTTTGTCATAGGTGGCAGATTAGCGGCCTTCCATAGGCGCTTGCCGCCAGGCCCCATATCGACCATGAGGTCAAATCGGCCATGGGCCCCCGTACCTCCTGGTCACGCTGCTGCTGAGCCCACAGTGTGACCTGGGTCCCTGTACGGCCTCCCATTGCTTCCACTCTGCCATGTGCCACTTTGAAATCTCCTCACACTCCTGCGGTTGTCCATTTTGTCATAGGTTGCTGGCAGATTACAGGCCTTCCATAGGTGCCACCAAGCCCCATATCGGCCATGGGCCCCCGTACCGCCTGGTCACGCTGCTGCTGGGCCCACAGTGTGACCTGGGTCCCTGTACCGCCTCCCATTGCTCCCACTCTGCCATGTGCCACTTTCAGGTCTCCTCACGCTCCTGCTGGTTTCCATTTTGTCATAGGTTGCTGTATGGCCTCCCATTGCTGCTGCCTCCACCGCCACACTGTGGCTCCAAACACTGGTTTTGGCCCCGTGACTGGCCAAAGGAGTGAAGTGTGCAGTGATTCTAAGATCGACGGCACTCATCTGCATGTCATACTGACAGACAGTATTATTTCTCTTCCCCAGCAGACTCCAAGGGCATTTAAATTAAAGGTACAGTGTTCTGCACTAATATTAAGTCTCTCTGAAGCCTAGAAACACCCTTTTTTAAGTTAAATTCACAGCGAATTTATTCGACTCGAATCGAATAATTTATTAAGATTCACCTGTATACCTAGAAATGAATTGGTGTTTAACAAAATCAAGATTATTTTACTTTGTATATATAAAAATTAAATAGATTTGGATAAAATGTATTAAAAAAAATTAATTTCTAAAACAATTTTTTATAATTAATTTAATCCTTACATTTATATCAAATCTTAAAGATGTCGTGCATTATCCATGCAAGGAAATCACCATCATAATGTAAAATTGATCATGTAAAAGTTTAAAAAACAATTTAAGAACACTCACATGTAGATTCATTTATTACCCAAATTAAGTGTTTGAAGATGCAATGTGCATGGAGACAATGACATCAAAATGCAGTACATGCAGACACCAGAAGTACAACTGACAATGGAACTGGGCTGTATACACTGGTTACGTAGTTAGGATGAAAAAAGAAGACAAAAGTCAATCTGGTTCAACCAATAAAAATAATTAGATAAATAGAAACCTCCATATACAGAACTCTATACCCAAAGCTGATCCAAAGAGAGGCGAAAAAAGCATCTATGAAGCAGTGGGAGCTTTATTTACACCTGAGTGTTTTGCCAAAAGATAGCAAGCAACTGTGTAGGGATTGTAATTTAAAGCAGATCTTTAACCTCTGAGTACACTTCCCTCCAATGCACCCCTCCTCCCCTCCACTACATGAATAGTATTTTTTTAAATGCACTTTTTTTCTATTAAAAAATGTGCAGCCCTGGACCCCCATGTTTGGTACCTGCCCAGACAAATGACATGCACAGTGCTACCTGTGCCTCCTAGAATATGCATGTCACATATCACAGGAAGCATAGCCCTTCATTCAGAAAGGATGGGGCATGCCTAGCACCACGTCACCTGGAGATTTGCGCATTGAACCCAGAAGAGCTGACGGGCCTCTCAAGGATGTCACAAGCAGCAGGATGATACAGGACTGAGCGGTGGCAGAAGCCAAGAGGATGTTAGTGGGATCGCTGGTTAGTGGGAACGCTGGATCCTCTGGGTGGGTGAGTATCTGAAATGGAAACAACAACAAAAAATGGGGGGGGGGGGGGGGGGGGGGTGAAGATATGCTTTAAGAAACATATTATGGCATGTTATTTGTTTTTATACATTGTTGTAAAAAAAAAAGGAATGTATTCAATTAATTTGCTTACATGAAGAAAAAACAACCAGAAAATGGGTTAGTAAACTCTTAACTTTTTTTATTGCTGACTTCACATCCTTGTTCCTCAAGGTATAAATAAAGGGATTTAACAACGGAGTGAGAACAGTGTATACAAGAGCTAGAAATTTATTAAATTGGGTGCCAATGGGTGTGATGTATACAATCATGGCTGTACCATAGAACAGACAAGTCACAGTAAGATGAGAGGAGCAGGTGGAGAAAGCCTTTTTCTTTCCAGCCGCACTCTTAATTCTAAGGATTGTCTTAATAATGTGAACGTAGAAACGTATAATGATAAGAAATGGGATAACTATGGCTAAAACAGCTGCTAACAGTACAGCCACTTTGCTGATAAAAGGATCAGAGCAAGACAAATCTTGAAGTGGTGTTGCATCGCAGAAAAAAATGGTTGATTTGATTTGATCCACAGAAATTGAGACGAGAAATGAAAAAAAAGTGGTCATAAAAGAAATAGTAAGCCCAATAATCCATGGTGCCCCAGCTAGTTTAATACAAAACTCTGTACTCATTATAGATGAATAGTGTAGAGGATTGTTAATAGCCAAGTCTCGATCAAAGGCCATTACAGCCAAGAGGTAGCATTCAGTTATCCCTAATCCATTAAAGACATAGAGCTGCGTGAAACATCCTAAAATAGATATACTTTTATTTCCAGAAATTAAGTTATCAAGAAGTTTAGGTATAGTTACTGTTACAAACATAATTTCCAAGACTGCAAAGGTGCCTATAAATGTATACATTGGGGTATGAAGTAAGGGATCAATTTTAATGAAGAAGATAATGGAAATATTTCCATGGATGCAGATCAAGTATGACAGCAAAATGATGACAAATAGTAAACATCTGCAATTGTGCTAAATCAGAAAATGCCACTAAGATGAATTCCTTCACCATGGTCTTGTTGTTGTCATCAGTTATGTAGGACACTGAACTCTAAAAGGGAAATACAGTTGGCTGCCATTAACAAGCAACAAAAAAGAAAGGACATATGGCATGCACACATAATAACACAAAGTATGACCTTCATTGCCTACTACGGTTATACTTTTAGTGTAATTTTACTCAGTTAGAATTATGGTAACTATGTGGAAGAAATCACAAAAAGAAAGATAAAGGTTAAAACCTGAAAAAAAATCTGCACGTTAAGTTAGTGTGTTTTATGTATTTATTTTTAAGTTACCATTCCCATTATGATCGCATGAAACTTAACAAGTATATGTAATGTTTTTTGATGCAACATTTTAAACATCACTCATAATCTAAACAAAAGAGATTGCACTTACTAGAGATGTATCACTCATAGTCCAAACAAAACTAAGTTTTATTTAATATGAGGATTTAAATAAATGATGGTTATAGTTATTCTATATTCTCTTTATAGTATATAGGTAATATCAAGATTTTAATGCTGTACATTAACATTAATTTATGACATTTATACAATCAAACATACTGTATGTATAGGAGGAGGAACTTGAAGATGTGCAATCCTGGGAACAATTATCCTAAGATAAACCCAGATGTATGAAACGCTTGAGACCAGAAATGCAAAAGAAATATATAAATAATACTGCACCCATAGGAATTTGCTATAGTTATAGCAATTTATGTCTTTCCTTAGAACAAATTAGAAATACATATTTCATATATTTTAAAGGAAAAAACAATGAAATACTCCATTTAGCAAAAAAAAAAAAATGGATTGTTGCAAATATATCTATACATATATAATTTATACTGCTTGAGTCTTGAAAAGAAACAGGCTTACTATTAGATTATTTTAAATTCAGAATGTATTTTACCAATATTCCTTAAGAATGTAAAATACAAGATGATTTCCCAACCTGGAGAGAGCTTCAAGGCAAGGGCGGACTGACAACTCATGGGGCGCCTGGGCAATAGGGGATCATGGGGCCCCTGTGTCCTCGCCCAAACTCAAAAAAGCCTATGAAAAAGGTACCAGGGGCATCTCATGGGGCCCCCTACTGACCCCGGGCCTCGGGCAGTGCCCGAGTTACCAAATGGTTAGTCCACCCCTGCTTCAAGGTCGTGGATATCTTTATTCAAAAACTGCAAAACAGAATGAAAAGTGGACCAACCTTGTACAATAGCTTCAATAAAACCTAATTGTGGTCAACAGATACTGTATTAGTAAAGAAGTGCATAGAACATTAAAATCATCTCAATAGAAACTCACTTAATACTCTGGATATAAATGATCAAATGTCAAACCCATCAACCAAGTTAGTCACTGTAACATGAAAAATGCTTATATGTTTTGAAGGCAATACCCACTTCTTCAGAGCTACCTGATCTGCACAAGAAATGCTTTAAATTCCCGTAGTATTAACCTCCCTGGTGGTATTCCCGAGTGTAGCTTGGGGTAAAGTTTCAGTACCACAAGCGGTAACCCCCGATCTACACTCGGGCTTACCATGCGGCACTGCTCTGGGATCTGTTCTTCTCTTACCTTGTCCTGCGCTCCCGCGATGTCCCTCCTGCAGTGTCCCCTGTAATGTCCTCCGGCGGATGCCGGCATCTGTCTTCTGGGTTCTGTCCCCTGTGATGTCGGGACCGGCGGGAAATTTGAAAATGACAAAAAGTGACATTCACTAAATTCACTAAGATCACATAGTAAAACATTACGGTATCAAACCATTTCACATACATTTTGTCCTGAGTGCTTTGTCCAGCGCCCTGCCTGCATTTTTACTGTTCTTTCTGCCTGGAAAACTGAGAAACGTGGCGTCCAAAAAGCATCCCTTTAGGTCAAAATCGGTTTTAGACCGGCTAGAGAACAGCGATAGTAAATTAGAACCACTTGCAGAATTGAGTGATAATGATTTGTGGGGAAATTCGTCATCAGACACTGAAAACGATTTTGCGACTTTGCTCAGTGATGTGCGAACTTGGCGCTATATTTCAAATTTTTGTGTTTTTGGTTTGATTGTATTATTGAATTAAATTTTTATTATTATATTATTTTTTTATGATTATTAAATTATAATTTATGATTTCGTGTTTCAAATTCTAACATACCCGGAATGTTTACTAGACTCTTGTTCGGACAGATTTCAGTGAGTTATTCCTAAAAATTACAGGCCTACAATAAAAAAAATACATATTTCCATGCAAAAAAATGTACCGCTTTGAGCACAGAAATTATGGACATAATCAGACCGCTAGGGAGGTTAAAATAAAAAGCACACAGGTGATCAAATAGCACCAAAAAAAAGCTCTATTTGTGGGACGTAAATTTCATTTGGGTGCAGCGTTGCATGACTGCGCAATTGCCAGTTAAAGTAACGCAGCGCTGTATCACAAAAAATGGCCTGGTCAGGAATGGGGGTAAATCCTCAGGAGGGCAAGGGGTTAAGCCTCAAGCTTTTGTGGAAGTATAGTTTTGCTATAAACGCAAAGGCTGAAAAATAAGAAACTGCTAAATCAAAAATGAGACAAAACTTGCGTTTTTAACGGCATTCTACAGCTAATGCTACTGACTAATGTCCAGTGTGCATGGGGCCTTAAAATCAGCAGGTCTGTGAATGAATAAAACTACCGCAGTAGGCAGCTTGTAGCTCATTCATTCACTCTTCCTTCATCTTTCTAAGACCCTATTCACACTTGTCAATTTGGAATCGCCATTATTCTGAAACGCATGGCAATTGGTGCAAAACACAGAATGCACATTTGAGTACCATTCATTTTAAATAGCACCCTAAAATCATATGAAGCTTGTCACCCAAAAAGGAGCAGGATCTTCTTTTGGGTGACAAACACGCATAAGGAAGCCCATTGATGTGAATGAGCTGCCGTGAAAATTGCCAACACAAAATCATGAGCAAACACGCAAGTTTCCACTATGTGAAGTGTGAATGGGGCCTAAATGAAAGCCTGTGTGCAGGAGGTTAACATTGCACTCACTGATCAAGGGTGCAAATCTTTGCATGCACCTGCGCAAATAAATATATAAAAAAATCTCTTTTTTTTTATCTGCTCAAATGTGTACATTTATTTTTTTTTTTTAACCGCATGCCGCCCAGCCACTGTAGATATACGGCGGCAGGGCGGCACTCGCAGGCAAAACCACATTTTAAAACGTGTGTTTTGTAAACAAATAGGGGGCGCACGCGAGGCGCGCCACCGCCCTATCTGTCCCACCGATCACCGCCACAGATGTGAGTCGCCGGGTCACAGCCATTCCTTAGCGGCTGTTTCCCGGTGATCGGCGGCAAACAGTGACAGACAGCACAGCTGCAGTAGCTGTGCTGTCTGTCACTTCCCTGTCAGCTCGAGGATGAGCTGATCGAGAAAGAACAGTTTCTCTTTTTCTCGATCAGCCTTGTCCCGCCCAGTACACACCCCCGCCCCCTAGTAAAACACTCCCCTCACTCCTATAACCCTTCCCTGCAAAATAAAGTTAACCCCTTCCCCCCCAGTGCCATTAGTACAGTGTCAGTGTTTTTTTTCTTGCACTGATCACTGTATTAGTATTTTTGGGGATGTCAGTGACCCCAAGTCAGTACCCCCCAATGTCGGAATGTCCGCCGCAGTCCCGCCATAAGTCGTTGGTCGCTGCCATAAGTCCCTGATCACCACCATAAGTCGCTGATTGTCGCCATTATTAGTATAAAAAAAAAGCTAAAAATCCCAGTATCTTTCCCGCCATTTGTAAACGCTATAACTTTCACGTAGGCCAATTAATTTACACGCATTGGGGTTTTTTTTCTTAGCAAAGACATGTCGCAGAACGCATTTTTGGCAGAAATTTATGACTAAATTTGATTTTTGCATTTTTTTTTTACTGGACATGTTTTATAGCAAAAAGTCCAAAATATTGTTTTTTTCCCTCAAAATTGTCAGCCTTTTTTTTATAGCGCAAAAAATAAAAACCGCACAGGCGATCAAATACCACCGAAAGAAAGCTCAATTTGTGGGAAAAAAAAGGATGTAAATTTCATTTATGTACCATATTGCATGACTGCGCAATTGTTTGTTAAACTAGCGCAGCGCTGTATAGCAGAAAAATGGCGTAAGTTACAGTATCTATACCATAGTTTGTAGATGCTATAACTTCCACACAAAGCAATCAATATACACTTATTGGGATTTTTTTACCAA